GTAAGCATAATTCACAATACGATCGCTATATTACAGTGACACAAGCGAGAAACCTGACAAGACTTTACAGAAGGTATGAGAACGTATTTAAATGTCACATAAAAAGCAAAGACCAGCCATGACCAGGTTTTCATTCAGTCGCCACTGGCACGATCTCAGGCAAGGGCGGCTCGATAAGGAAATTGGCGAAGAGCACATATATGGCCGCAGTGGCGCCCGCCAAAAACACGCTGCCAATCCACGCACTTTGTATAATCCAAAAGTCAAGATCTTGAAGAGTTATGACAGAATACGCGTGCTTGCCCAGAGAAAAGACGCTGCTGTTACAAAAACAATTGTCAAAGACGTTGCCGAACTGGCAAAAGCACGCGGTGACTGCCCAGACCGCGTTGAAGCCGGCGATGAACTTTCCGAGACGGCGTAGCATAATTGAGGTCCATCGAGCTGCGGACTGATGACGGATGGCCTTCAAGTTGCCTTCGAGGAGGGCCTGGCCTTCTACATCTCTGGCCTGGCCTTCTACATCTCTGGCCTGGCCTTCTTCATCTCTGGCCTCACCTTCACGGATGACATGGCCTTCAGAGCGGTGTTGGGTGGTCGAGACATAGTGTGTTAGGATGCTTGAGGTCACTAACATCATCCAAACGGTCGTGGAGAGGACAGCGTAAATGAGCACAGCAAATGATCGGCAGCCGAGTCCTGTGACAGTGATCAGCAAACAAGACGGAGGAGAGAGAACAGTGAAGTTCTCACCTCGAGTAGGTGTGTACCAGGCTTGAACCAAGGCAGCTCCAGCCGTGCCCCATTGTAACATCAATGCGAGACCAGATGCAAGAATCATTCTGGATACAACTTTTGGTCCCCAGCGACTACGTGCAGGAGGTTTCTTGGCCTGATCCGGAGTGCAGTAGTTTTCGACTTGAGTCCTGGTGCCCACACGATCACGATAATTAGGTTTCTCAGCATCGGGGTTGACCGGCTCGTTGACCAGCTCATGACGGCTATAACGTTCGGATGCCGCCTGGAAAGCTTCGGACACATCCTCCACTGCCTGCACCCACGGGAAGAATCGCGCATAGTTGAAGACTGGCGAAGTACACTTCTCATCCCGATGCAGGTCATCCACATCTGTCAAGGTAAGGTCAATAGCTCGTGCGTCGGTTTTGTCCTTCAGGAGAACAACCTTCCCATCATCCGTGGCAATGTACGCAATGCCATTCGCACGCGCTACGGCTCTCTTGAGCAGTGCCGCGTCACATTTGGGCGAGAACTGTAGCCACCCAACGACGATGGGGAGAAGCCACAGCCAAAGCGATCCTACTCCTAGGCCATTGGAATGGATGGAGGTGTCAACGCCCGCTATGAAAGTATCAAGGACGCTAAAGACGTAGGCGATGACCACCCACGCGATGGAGGTGGCTGCAGAAATGGACCAGTTGTGACTATAGTCGATCTCCTCGGCAAGTTGACTCCACCATTTGTCGTTCTGGCTCAGAACAATGAGGGACGCAAGAAACCCATCATCTTTCACGACTCTGATGGGCGATTGCTGCAGGCTAGTGAGGATGCGCACTGCATCTCGAACGTTGGGAAAGGTGTATTGTGTAAACTGTCTGGTGACCCAACGATTGTTTAAGACAGTTAGGATAAGCGAATACGCAGCCAAAGTTGGTGATCCAACGGTTGTAAGCACAGAGTCCAAATTCACCAGCATATCATTGGAGCCGAACGGGAGCTGGGAAACCAGCGCTAGCCACGGGAGCAAAAACGCGCTGAATTGCTGCGAGAAAATGGTGAATTCAAATGGCTCTTGTCTTTCGCCACAAGCTTGGA